ACTCCAGTCAGGCGTGAACAAATACTTCAACCCTGTGTTCGCATACGGTAAGGTCATTGACCAGATGAAGCTAATCAAAATAATTATTAAAAATATTGGTACTATAATACTGTTGACGAGCTCAATACTTTTCACACCCCACGATATAGTTACTCCAGCTGAAATAATAGCAATGCCATGGGTGAGGATCGGCCACGAACTCTCCTGAAAGTAAAACACGTATATTGTAAAGATGACAATGACTGAAACCATAATGCCGCTGAGGGCGCAAGACATTCTTCCCAGATTGAAATTGTTAGTAAGTTGATTGCGTAAAATTAGTTGTCGCAGACTATCAAATAATTTCTACCTATTCGTTACGTAAATCTGTACGTAGGTGGTCTTTCTATCCCTTTGCTTTGATTGGTCGATTGTACGTGTAGACACTGTGGGGAGCACAGGCACACAGGTGGTCGCCCCCTCGAAAGAAATATTGGGGTGCATCGCTCCTTCAAAATCAAGCTGAAACCCTTTGTGTCAGCAAAATTTGCCCCCCCCCCAAAATGGAGGAAATAGCGTTTCAGAGGGTCTAGATTTCAAAATTTTTACGGGGGAGCATACCCCAGACCTCCCTAGTAAGGTCGCGCCTTTGGTGCGAGGGTTGGTGAGCAAATCCCCCCCCCCGCGCATGTAAAATTACGTGCTGTCGCCTCTGAGACAGACAGTACATTGTGCAGTGCAGTTCATTGTATTCAGACTTGTATTGTCCACGATGGATTTACGAATATGTCTTCTTATGGTTAATCATCCTTCTTGCAACAAACTATGTTTATTTATTTGGATATGTTGTATATGGTGATTTTATTTCGTACATGGTTCCAGAATCAGTTTCTCGATGTGCAGCGTGAGGTCGCGTGAGTCCGGGCATACTCGCGCCTACATGTCACATCATAACAGCCATAAGTATATACACGTGTGGTTAATGAGGTGTTGTAATTGAAAAAAAAAAAAAAAAAACACTGCGGGACGGGTGCTTTATATTAAGCTGAGAATCAAAGGTTCATAGTTACGACAGATAAGTAATTTGTAACATATTAATGGGCGGCAGTCATCGCGCCGCGTCGTGTTCGACATGGGGCTCATAGCGACGTATACAACGCGTGTAAAATACATTGTTTATTTACATGAAATTCCAACACGCGCTGCGCAACGACCAGCGCGCTTTAATGCTATAGTTCCCACGCCATGTAGCAAACACAGTCTGAAATCTGAATTATTCCAGCACAGATCAAAGCACAAAGAAACATTCCCCGAAAGAGCCAAATATTGAAGTTTCTTGAATGAGCCAATGAAATAATGTATTTTCTACTCACCTTTGCAAATTCGTTAAATATCGTTTCGCTGCCCACC